TCATCACGTCTGTGCAAGGTGCGTCATTCCACATCAGATATGGCCTAGATCCATGGTCAACATACAACTGAAATGCAATTCATATGAAGTATTTAGAAGTAAGGAGAACTCAATTTAGATAATGATTTGAGGGCTGTTATCTAAACCAAACCAAACTGAGTTTTCTCTAAAATCCCAATCAAGCGTTTACGCTACTGTAAACACACATGAAATCAGATAGCTTTGTGACGTGTAGGTTCTCTGCTCTCAACGCTGATAGTGGAAAGCAATTTGGTGCCTCAAAAAGTTTTGTTCAAACCAAACCTCCGTGCAGTGCTCCCTTCCTTGATAGTTATCAGGCTGATTGCTAGCAAAGGTTAGAAAATCGACTTTCGTGCCGTCAGTCCAGGTCCATTCCTTGTTTTTTGGATAATCCGCTTGTTTTAGACCTATCCATGAGTAATCCGTAAGCTTTGACCACGGTTTACCCGTTTTTGCCAACGCTAAATCAAACGACGAATATTGTAGTTTTCTAAATGAATACAAATTGATCACCTGCTACAAAAAGATTTTCTTCATGGCTGTGTATGGAAACCAAATGCCCTCCTTTCATTTTACAAGAACTTTCGGCATTATCGAAGCTTGCCGTGAAGAAAGACTGTAATATTCCACATTTCACAAGCATCAATATAATTCATTGTTGCTTATTGAGTTGAACCCAAGTCCTCATCCAATGAACCTTAGAGGCTCTCTCAAACAACAATGTCAGAATAGCTCGAATCCTCGCAGCACCTTCCCCGATCTTGCGTCGCCTTCGCAAGCATTATTTGCTGCTGCTCGGACGTAAGAAACTGTTTACGATCAAAGGCACCGTCCATCCGAATTCTCGGCTTCCATGTTTTTGTCCTTTCGGGGCCTTCTCATCTCCCTGTTTCCGAGCAAGCCGAGGGTCCGCGAAAAACTCAACAATCCCTCTCGAGTTCTTCATGGTTATGGTTGGGTGCGCAATGGGCGGGCCGAACGTCACGTCAGGGGTAGGAGTCAACATGGCGAGTTTGTCATCGGAAGCGATTTTCGAAGCAGTTTCCTGGCTTCGGAAGCAACTTTTGGCAGCATCGGGCAAACAGTTGGGGGCCCCGTTACTGTTGCATTAAAATTAAAACCTCATCGACCCCATTTTGGGTGGACGAGTGCCTTTAACGTTCGCAAATGCGATGCAAATGGATGCAATGCCTTGAGCTAGGCAACCGCAGCAAGGACGCGAGTTGTTAAAGTTGTGACACCACTACTGAAACAACCTATATTCATTGATGTTTTTTAAAGTAGATCATATGCATTAGTCACACCAGTTTTCAGGATGATATTTCACAAAGCCCACGAGCTGCTTAATGTTGTCCCTATAAATCCTCTCTTGTCTGCGTCTGTAGATGTATGCTAAGATTGGACAGTGCGACTTTTAATGAATCTCGGCATGAAGAAATACTTTGTTTTTTTCTTCTTAAGCCATACACGAGATTGATTATCAATTTATTGACTCCACGGTTAACGTTTCTGCAGATCGCCTCCGTCGAAGCCTGTAAGGATAATACGATTTGCAGTCAATCAACCAGTACCTCCACAGCTGAACAGACACATGCTAGACCTCTTTTTCGATGACTAGTTCAGTTGCACGGTCAAGCACGTACCCTTTAGATTACGCCGATAGTCCTCTTCAGAGGAAAGTGGGGTTCA